TCCTCTGCCTCAGTGTCCCCAGTCCTGGCTGTGGCTGCCCCCCCCCCCCCCCCCCCCCCGGGGGGTGGGCCCCCCCCCGGGGCCCCCCCCCCCCCCCCGCCTCGAGGGATGTTGGTCCCCCCGCGGGGCTCCCCGCCTCTCCGGGACCCCTTTCCTTAGCCCCCCTCACCCGTGAAGCCCATCCCGGTGGCCGGCGGGACACTCAGCCCCCCGGCAGGGCCCGAAACACTGCCCGAAGGCGCCGAACTTCGAACAAAGAGCCGGGGCCCGCGAGGAGGGGCTGCCCCATGCGGGGGCTTGGGGGGCCATGGGGGCTATGCCGCCACCGGCATCCTGGTCGGGACAAAGCAGCCCCCCGGCTGTCCCTGCTCCCCCCACGCTGGTTTCCCCGCGTGTCTCTCCCACGCTCACAATGCCGCGGGAAAGAAGTAGCTCCAGGCATCATTTACGTGTGAGTGTGTGACCCCAGAATCCACTGGGGATCCCCAGAGTGGGGATGCACGGGAGCAGGTGACCCCAAGGCTGTGGGCACCCTGGAGGTGGCTTGGGAGCCCACACTGGGTGCAAGGGAGGCTGTGCTGTTGCACCCCCTCTTCAGCTCCTCCTAAAAGTGCTGGGGGACCACAAGCACCCCCAAATGATGCACTTGCACCCCAAGTCCAAGTCATTGAGGGTTTGGTGCTGTTCCTCCCTGTGGCCATCCCACAGGCCTCCGCAGAGGTGCTGTGTGGGAGTGCAGGGTGCTGCTGTGCCGGGGGACACGGGCGGGGGTGACACGGGTGGGGGCGACACGGGCTGGGGGCTCTCCACCCCTTGGGGGGTCCCTGCTGACGGGGTGCTGTCCCCCACAGTGGGCTGTCACAGGAGGCAGGCAGCGTGGAGCAGCTGTCCCTGCACTGCGCCGAGGGCTCTCTGGAGTGGCTGTACCCCACGGGGGCCCTTCGTCTCCGCCTGACCCCCCGCCTGCCCCCCACCACCGCCGCTGTCAAGGGCGGGAGCCCCCAGCACGTCACCGCCTGCGTCAAACCCACCGGGACCTTCCGTGGGGCTCAGCTTTACCTGGAGAGGGAGGGGGTGCTGGAGCTGCTGCTGCCAGAGGCCCCCCGGCCCCGTGCCCGCTGTTTCAGCTGGCTGCCCCAGGAGAAGGTGGCCCTGTTCCTACAGGCCACCCCACACCCCGACATCAGCCGCCGCATCGCCGCCTTCCGCTACGAGCTGCGGGGGGACTGGCTGGCCCGGCCGGCCCTGCCCACCGCCAGCCTCGGTGCAGAGGGTGAGTGCCCAGCGTCCCCTCACCTGCCTCGGGTTCCCCTCCCCTTGCCGGGGTGGCTGTGAAGGCGAGGAGGAGCGGGATTGGGGTGGTGACCCCCCGCAGTGCCACCGGGAGTGGCGGGTGGTGACGGGCTGTGCTTGGCCTTGCAGGCGCGTGTCGGCCGTGCAACGACACCGAGATCCTGATGGCCATTTGCACTAGTGACTTTGGTGAGTGGGGACCAGGGCCGGGGGAATCAGAGTGGGGGAACAGCCCCACGGGCAGCGCGGGGCCCCCTCCGAGCTGGGCTGGGTTGGGCTGTGGCCAGAGGGGACAGAGGGTGCTGTGGCATGGGAGCAGTGATGGGAATGGGGATGGAGATGAAAATGGGGGCAGGAATGAGGATGGGGATGGGAATGGAGAAGGGGTGAGGGATGAGGATGAGAATGGGAATGGGAATGTGGATGTGAACAGGGATGGGGATGGGAGCTGGGATTAGGATGGAGGACGGGATGGGAATAGGAAAGGGAGTGGGGATGAGACAAGGATAGGGATGGGGATAAGGATGGGAGTGGGAATGCAGATGGATGAGAATGAGGATAGGAATGTGGATGGGAACAAGGAAGGGGATGGGAATGGAGATGAGGACAGGGATGGGAATGGGACTGGAGATGTGCATGGAGAAGAGAATGGGCACAGGAATGGCAATAGGGATGGAGACAAAGATGAGGATGGGAATGGGTCAGGGACAAGGACACCTCTCCCTTCCTTCTCCCCACAGTGATCCGTGGCAGCATCCGGAGCGTGTCCAACGACGCGGAGCTGCAGGAATCCATCATCGGGGTGAGCGCCACCCGCATCCACCGACAGAAGTTCCCGCTTTTCCAGGTGGGCGGGCGGCCGGGGCGGCCCGTGGGCAGCATCCGCACCCCCCTGCGCTGTGGGGTCAAGCCGGGCCCCGGCACCTTCCTGTTCACGGGGTGGCTGCATTTCGGGGAGGCCTGGCTGAGCTGCGCCCCCCGCTACCGGGACTTCCAGCGCATCTACGAGGGGGCCCAGCGGGCGCGCCAGAACCCCTGCGAGTTCCCCGTGGACTGAGCGGCTCCGGGAGTGCGACCCGGCCCCGCGGGACCTGGGGGACCCCTGGCGACGAGAGTACCCCGGGGGACACAGGGACGGTGCCCTGAGGGAGCGCAGCACATCCATCCTCGCCGTATGGCCGGACTGTGGCAGCACCTGCCGGCGGGCTCGGGGGTTCTGGGAAAATCTTGCTGCAGGAGAAGGGATTTTCCCAGGGCGCATTTGTCCGTGGGCCCCAGGGACCTGCCTGGGTGAGGGGTGCAGTGGCACGGGGTTGGGGCTCCCAGGGGACTGGGCTGCTGCATGCTCAGGAGATGCTGTGGGGCAAGTGGGTCTGGCACCAGGGGCAGCCAGACCCCCAGACCCCGGCAGGGCTCGAGGGTGGGTGGCCGTGGTGGCCAGTCCAGGGACATGGTGGGCACAATGGGGTGTGGAAGGGCCAGGAGATGGATTTGCAATGTTGAGGGTGGAAGAGGGAGTGGGCAGCAGCGAGCCTGGCCCTGGCCCTGCCTGCAATGCAGGGCACAGGCAGGAGCTGTGGAGCGGATGCTGAGGAAGAGGAGTGAGGCCGAAGGGAGCAAGGGGAATGGTGAGGTGGGAAGAAGGCTGAGCAGAGGTGCCCTTGGCACAGCCAGGGCGGGACCAAAGCGCCAATGCAGGGAGGTGCTGTGGGAACAGGGAGAGGTCACTGTGCCACCCGTCACCGGCAGCCTACGGGTGACTGGGAGTGAGGCACAACGTGACAGCCGGGGGGAATTTTGGACCGTGGGGGTGGGGGGCATTGTATGTGCACTAAAGTTATAACGATACCAAATTTGTGACTTTTTTTTATAAACTAAGCTGTATTTGTAGCGTGTGGCTCTTGTTTTCAAAAAGCTGAGCGGGATGTTCAGTGCTGGGCACTGCGGTGGGTGCCGGTGCTGGTGTGTGCCACCTGCCTCCCCCTGTGCCAGCTCCAACCACCAGTCCTGCCTCCTGTGGGGCTGGAAACAGCCCTGATATTTATATATCTACATATCTATCTACAGAGACAGATATATTGCTGTTTGCACATGCTGCATCCCCTGGATGGGTCACTTTGGATATCCCAGGGTGAGGGGGCTGGGGTGGTCCCGTGCCGGGTGGGTGACCCCGCCGGCAGAGCTGCTGTCAGGGCTGATTCTTGTCAGAGTTGTCAGCCACAAGGCCTCATTGTGCCGGGCTGTGCCATTCCAGCATCCAACCCTGCTGGCTCCCACCCCTCCGCTGCCCCCAGCCAGCCCCTGCCTCGGGCTCCTGCTCCTCTGGCTGTGCTGTGTCCCTGGGGGTGCAGGGGATGGGACCCCTGAACAGGGAGGGGACCTGGGACCCCCAGCTGGGGGTGGGGAACAGGACCCCCAGACAGGATTGGGATATGGAACCCCCAGGTGGGGATGGGGCACAGGACCCCCAGTTGGGGATGGAGTACAGGACCCCAGCCAGGGACCTTTTCTCCTCATCATGCCCATAGGTGCTCATCACAGGGAGGCACAGCTCCTGAGCCCCCCCAGAGCCCCCGAGCCCCCCAGATCGCCCAAGCCAGACTTATTGCACACATTCACTTGTACTTAAACAACTTCTCAGTCTTGTTTCAATAATACCTTTTCAAATATCACCATCCAGGATGAACTGCTGGGTGTTTGGTTCCTCTGCTGACCACAACACACTTTTCCTTGCCAAAAAACTGTTTCCAAAGAATGCTGTGGGCTTTGGAGCTTAATTAAATATAAATATCTATATGTGTGTGTGTATAGAATGATCTGGCTGTGATAAGATCCTGGTGGGTTTGATACACAACACATGTTTTCCCTTGAGAAGAGTTTGATGCTTATTTTATGTTTTACTGCCAATTTTATACCGATGTATTTTGATTTTTTCCTTTTACTGCCCCATTTTTGGGCTGGGCTGGGCTGGGCTCTGAGGGCAGGATGTGGCTCCGGGGAGGGGGATGCTCCACGCCGGGTGCTGGAGGATGCCAGCATCCCCCTGGAATTTGGCAGCAGGCAGGAGCCAAGCAGCGCAGGGGGAAGGGGGAAGGAGTGGGAAACCCAGTGGAGGAGGAAAAACGAGGCTGGAAAAGCAATAAACGAGGTGCAAAGGGAATTGTGCTGCCCACGGCATCCTCTGTTCACTCCGGGGGTAAATCCTGGCGGCTCTGGCCCCGCAATCCAGCACATTCCTCGTGGCCAAATGACGGCGTTTAACGCGCGGAGCATCCGGCGCTTTTCTGTCCCACAGCAAAACCTCTTGTTTTTCTTCAAATCTGTTTATTTGGTCAAACCAGCTCATTGCGCTGCGGCGGAAAGGGCTGTTACTCTGCTCAACCTCCGCCACAGAGATTTTTGGGCTGTTTTTAGTGCCCTCTGCCTCATGTCAGGTTGGGTCGCCCGCCCTCCCTTCCCCCGGTGCCGGCTCCTGCAGTGCTGGGCCCCGGCCAGGGCACTAACACTTCCTACGGGATCACCCCACAGGGCAAACAGGCAGATGGTGCCTCAGTTTCCCCACTGTGGGATGAGGATCACAGCTCTTCCCCGTGGCTCAGGGTGGCCACGGCACCAGGCAGCATCCCACAGCTCTGGCATCTCCATCGCCCCGGGGCCAGGCATCCGAGCACCTCCCCAAAAGCTGAGTCCAGCCTGGCCAAGCCATATTCCTGCCTGGCCTGTTGGTACCCATGGAGGGTGAAAACACAATGAGATAAACTCCATCCCGGGCAATATTTCCTCTGCAGGATGGAAAATGTGGTGTGAGGCAGCACCAGCGAGGGGGAGCAGGATGGGGGACACGGTGTGAGCTGGGGGGTCTGAAGGGGCTCGGACAGGGGTGGCCATGGTGAAGGGCTATGGTAGCACCCTGTGAGCCCAGGAAAGGGTGACCCTACCTGTGGGCACCGTGGTGCCCACCCAGCACGGCTGCCTGCAACATCCATGGGGATGATCCAGCCAATCTGCTCCAAAAGCGCCCCACCCACCTACCCACCCCCCCCAGAAGAGGGTTTTGGGGATCCCATGGACAGCAGCACCCCAAAACCAGCTCCCTCGGTGCAAATGTGCCCAAGGAGGTGCCTGTGGCTCCTATCCCATGGGATTAGCCCCATTGTGGACCCAAGTGTTCACACATCCCAGCCCAGGAACTCTGCGGGGACTGTGAAGCCCTTCGGTCACACTGCGGGTTGGTGTCCGCACTGGGAGAGCAAAACACAGAGTGGTGGCAGTGCCGGGTGTCCCCCGGTCCCTGTCCCCTTCCCTGTCACACAAAGGGAGCTGCCGTTTCCCGCCATTTCCCCCCCTCCAGCCCTTCTCCCCCCTCTCCTGCCCCCTTCACCCTCCTCCTTCCCAGCTGCCTGATAAAAGCCCGAACGTGTGAATCGCGGGGCACAAAGGGGAGGCACAAAGGCGGCCGGCCCCGCTCAGCCATCCCTGCGGCCCCCACCCCAAGCAGGGACCCCCAGGACCCCCCAGACATCCTGCCTGTCCTGCCCACCCTGCCCAGCCTGCCTGCAGCACCCCAGAGCCAGGAGCTGGCATGGAGCAAGGGGATGTCCCTGGGGGCAGGGGGTCCCCAAGAGGGTCAGGATGACATCCCTGGGGTTTGGAGATTCCTCATAGCGTCAGGGTGATGCTTCTGGGCTTAGGGGATGCCCTACAGGGTCAGGATGAGGCTCCCAGGTTTGAGGATGCCCCATAGGGTTGAGGATGCCCCTGAGACTGAGAGCAGCCCCATAAACTCAGGATGAGGACCCTGGCATTCAGAGATACTCTGCTGGGTCAGGATGATGCTCCTGGGGTTATGAAATGCCCTATAGGGTTGGATAATGCCCTTGGGGTTTGGGGATGCCCCACAGGGTCCAGATGCCTCTGGAGTTCAAGGATGCCCCATAAGCTCAGGATGAGGCCCCTGCTGTTCAGAGATGCCCCATAGAGTCAGGATGAGGCCCCTGGTGTTCAGAGATGCCCCATAGGGTCAGGATGAGGCCTCTGGGGCCGGGAGAAGCTCTAGCCTACAGCCCTTGGCAAGAGGAGAAGCAAGAGCCTGGTGACTCCGAGGACACCCTCCCACCCTGGCACCCCTTGGGGTGCTGCACCCCAAACTTGGGCATCAGGGCGTGCTTCCAGCCCCCTGCTTCGACGGGGATGAACCCAAACCAGCATCATCCCAGCGCGGGGAGGGTTGCTGGGGGTAGGGCAGGACCCCGGCCCGCAGCGGGGCCCCGCAGCCCTTCACCCCGTGCAAGGCGCCTGCGCCCGGCGTGTCCGGCCCCGACAGCTGGTGGGAAGCAGCTTTCCCAGCACATAGCGACAAATTCCTGGCGGTCAGGGCTGCTTTGCAGCCGCCGCGGCCCCGGCGGGGGGAAGCTGGCCTGGAAAGAGGAGGATTAAAAGCTCTTTGACTCCGGCGACACATCCCAACTGGTCCCCTCGCCCGGCCACCTGCTCGTCCCGGCACCCCGAGATGCTGCGGGCACCCCGGGGCTGGGGCAGTAGGGGAAGCTGCCACCACCCTGCTAAATCCCAGGGGCCCAGCGAGGAGGGCTCAGCCCTGCCTGGGAATCGCTTCCTTAATTAATTTGCTCTGCAGCACCACGGGGGCTCTCGGGCTGCTCCAGGGACTGGCTCATCCCCACGGACCATCCTCCTCCTCTGCAGCCTGCTGGCCCCCCCTCCTCCCCCAGCTCCGATTTCCCTGGATTTTCTGCTTTAACCAACTCCACCTGCCAGCGAGAAAACCCGAAACCGGAAAATCAGGGTGATCCCCATGACCCCCGATTTGGCCACGCTGGGCCCTTTGGCGGGGCCGGGCAGGGAACAGCCCTGGGACGTATTTTGGGGGTGGCTTCACCTCCCCATTGGAGCCCCACGGCTGCTCCACGGAATGTGATTAATGGGGTCTGGTTGTTGTTAAGCCCCCCGAGCTGCATGTCTGGGGGTAAAACACATGTGGGGGTACGTGTGGGTGCGTGTGCATCCTCATTCCATTCGGTTCCCACAAATCAGGGTGAGATGGAGCAGAAACACGTGTTGTGCTGCCTTTGGCAGCTCCGCTCTTGGCTCACCAGCAAAGAGGGGCTCCAGGGGGGCTGGTGCTGGGCCTGTGCTGCCCCCAGGGCTGAGGAGGTGGGAGTTCTGCTCCCCAATTCCACTTCCCTGCACCCCAAAGCCCTTCCCGGGCCATCAGAGTTCTTTCCTACACCCGCAGTGGCCTCGGGGACACCAAGTCTTGTGACAAGGCTGGTGGCCCTGTGGTAAGGACATGGGGTGCCACCAGACCCCTGAACCCCAAGCTCTCAGGGGACACCCCAAAACGGTGCTGGAGGGGAGCCCTGCACATACTGACCTACGGACCAAGGGGGGAGCAGGGGGAGGTGACAGTGGTGACATCATCCCTGGTGTGGCCACACAGGCAGGGGGGCTGCAGCCCTTTGTGCCCCTCATTGAGCGGGTTTTGTTCCCGCAGTTGGGTTGGGTCGGGTTGGGTTAGGGGGGTCATTAATGGGGTGGGCAGGGGCTGTGGGGCTGGGCTGCCCCTCCTGCATCCCATTGCCTGGAATTTTCCCACAGTCGCTGCTGCCTCACAGCAGGAAACCCACCGGCTGCCTCAGGCACAGCCCCCACCAACGGGGCATGGCCCTGTAACAACCTCACAACCCCATAACAACCCCACACAACCCCATAACAACCACATACAC